CTTTCAATTTGTATGTTTTTTAACATCTTTTCTTTTCAGGGATGTAAAAATCTTCCAAAATCTGAAATATGCCTGACTTTCAAAATGTGTATTTTCAGGAAGATGAACTAAAGGGTGAAAGTAACATCTGGATGTTACTGAAGCGACCATGTTACTATGTTACTTGTATCCTGTAAAAAATGAAGATGCTAACAGGATCCACATTTGTGTGACCTACAGCTTTCACCCTCCTCATCATCCGTCTTTAGTGTACGAGGCAGCAGAAAAGAAGAAAGCGGGCTGAATGAGGGCTCAACAGATGAGATAGCTACGTCTAATCCCTTCTTAAAGAGACTCATTGAAATGACTGGGAGAGGGGAGGATGAGACGAAAGAAAAATGGGAGCATTGTGTATTGTGTAGCCATCACAGGGCGTCTTTGGTCGTCTCTGTGAAGTGACTTTGACAGCTCAAGGGATTAAGGAGCGGTCTGTCGTTCATGGCCCAAACAGCAGGGATTAGACTAAATATGTTCACTCTGGTCTCTGGCTCCCTCACTTAGAAAAATCAATAAAACATGATTTTACAACTTTAACTGAGCATGTGTGTTTAAGTGTGGGCTGTGAGAGAAAAAAAAAACTTGAAATAAAAGTGAGGATGGCTCCAGAGGAGGAAGGAGGAGCTAGCTGCCAAGTGTTGTTGCAGTTTGCTGAAAGCTTATTTGTATGTTGTATGTTGTTCAAGTGCTCAGGGTTTATTACAGCCATAGGAAAAGAAGTGTTAAAGGGCAAGAATCAAACTTGGACGAACTACAGGCCAGCTTCCTGCATATTCAGGTTGCCAAGTAGGCTTTAGAGAATTTCAAATTAGCCTAAGTGTTATTCCATGTGATACAGTTTTAAACATCATGTTTGCTATATTTTCAGCTCCAGAGAAACTGCTCCCATCAGAAGAACAAGATGGGCAGCAGTTAAGTTAAAACCAAAAAAGAACTGTGGTATGTGCTCTAAATAATTTAGAAATTATCTGGAAACAAGAATCTCTTTGGGATTACAGTTTGAGTTTTTAATGCGCTTTAAAGCAGTGGTTCTCAACTGGTGGGTCAGGACCCAAAAGTAGGTCAAGGAGCTGTTTGACAGTGGGTCGCAAAGTTGTGCCTGGAAAGAAAATGTTTTAACATGTTTGTTTTTTTTCAGTGACTTTATTCTGTTTTGTACAGTCTGAGGTCCAAACTGAATGTTTTGTATTAAATCAATCTTATTGGTTAATTAATGTAATAAATTTGGAGTTGGTGGTGGGTCCTAACGCTAGACCAGTTGAGAACTTCTGCTTTAAAGTGTCAATGAGACATCATCACTTACTACAAATGTTGTGGCCATTATGTAAAGTCAATGAAAATAAGCGATAGTGCATACAGAATGATAATCAACAATACTTTGGGAGGCAGTAAAAACCTTTCTATTTATACGGCGCAGCTGTCAAAACGTGTTTTACAAGTGAGTGGAAAGTCTGAAAAGAAGTATGAGTGCGGAGGCGACTCTGAGTTCCTGGGGCAGCTCGTGTTTGAACTTACTGCTCAAAAAGTCAAAAAAAGTTTCTGTGTGTTTTTAACTGTAAGAAATATGCCGACGAGATCTGAGTGTAACCACTATCAACCGACACATCAGGAACTGAACTGAGCTGCTGTTCTGAATTTAACTCTGCAGAATCAAATCACACATTACTGTTTGACGCGTTTATTAAGCTGCTTTGGCTTGCAGGTCCTTTTCATTATTTTATGCACTGTAGATCTTACATCATTATCATTCCTTGTGGTGATCCTAGCAGCATTTCTCAGGTAATCACTGAACCAACAAATCCACATTACACATGTTTCAGGGACTGCTATTCAATTAAATAACCCCAGCACAACTTTGATTATAAAGTTACAACCCAAATGTCAAGTGTCCTGTTTTCTTATGGGTGTGGTTTGAGAGTTTACTAAGTGGAACGAGAAAGCTAAAGAGCAAATAAGTGGAGTTTTCCCCAACCCCCAAATCTGCCTCTAATCCATAAAATTACACCTGTCACTAGAAAGTTAGATCCATTAAAACTCCTTCCTGCCCGGAGAAGGAAAAAAAAACCATTAAAACACACAAAGGCCTTCAATCAGCACTTAATTAACACAGCAACCTTTTTTTCCCCAGAGTGCTGGCAATCACTCCCCTATCTGCCAGATTAGTTTAAGGACGTGAATACAGATAGGAAATGACCAAAACAACTCAGAGGCTGTGGCAGAGGAGAACATAAGTATGCAAATAAAAGCCAGGGAGGAGCGGAGCGGGAGGATGAGAGAGAGAGAGGATATCCAATATGCTATTAACTTCCCCCTACCCACAGTGGTTTCAACAGATATATCCAATGGCCTTCATGTCAAGTCAAGTGCATCATTTCAGCAGAGGGAACATCACTTAGATAACCACTCACACTGTTCGTTTCACTGCCTCTATATCTCATGTGAAATGGTAACAATCAGTTGCAGCTCTCTCTAAAAAAACTGGTAACGTAAAGGACTGTAAAGCTCTTTTATGACATTGAACCACTACAGTGTAAATGATGGTGATAACTCAATGGTTTTGTATCACCAAAGTGCAAAGATAAGAATGTATAGCAGCTATAAAGTAATTCCTGCTTATGTTCCATAGCGATGTTCTGATAACATCATTTCCCTCTCAATATTCAAATTCCTAAAGTCCTGTACTTTTCAATACAGAGTACAAAGATGATTCCAACACATACAAAATGATGTGTCTATCATTAGTAAACAGCTGTATACTTCTAACCCTGTGTGGCAGCACCCTGGAAACTGAAGCCATAAACCATGCTCTTTCAAACATGCTCTCTCACTGTAACTATGGACAACTTGCTACTGTTTCATTGGCCGACTGGCATTTCTCCAAGACCGGCCTCGAAGGCATTTCCAAAATCGGTATCTGCCTCTCAACAAATCTAGTTTGAAAATATATTTATTTTAGGAAATTGTAGAAACCAATTCAAAAAATAGATAAAATCAGGCTACTTCATCTGTTCCATCATAATGTGAAGAAAAGAGTCTGTGAGAGATCTAAAATAACAAGAAACCAAGAAAAGATTGGTAGAAAAGCCACATAAAATTAAGCCAGAATATGCTGATTTTACAGTTGGAATAATGATTTTATGAAATGACAAAGAGGTCACAAGAATGAAGGCCCTCTGTATGTCTCTAGTCCCCTCTCTTAACTCCTCTCTCTCTGTAGTTGAATTGTCAGCTCTTTGTTAATTTGAGCATCTTCCAGCTCGCTTTCCTTTCCTAAACTTCAATGTTATTCGATTACCTCTCACCACTCTCACTAAACTTCTATTTGTAGAAGCAGCAGGTAGCTCTGCTAAACCAATTTTATGCTTCTCACCATGCACCATAATTGCAGGCAGACAATTAGCCGGATTGTCCACAATTTCCATGTTTGGGATCCATCCAGTCATCCAGCCAGCCAGCCGAATTAACATTTAACTTGCAGGAGAACATAGCGGCTCGTTAAGCAGCGGAAAAACCTCATCATTCAGCCAAAGAGTTGTTGGAGACCAAAACAAAGCTAAAAGGCTGACAGAAAAAGTATTATGTGCAAATTAAAGGCAGGGTTGGCAATTTTCAAAAAAACTAGCATGATTTTGAAAGAAGCATTCCCTCAGTGCTTCGTCTGCACCCACCCCCTCCGCTCTGTGCTCCCTGAAAAGCCAAGCCCCTAACTTACATGCACAAGCGCCATTGGTCCAGAAGCGGAGCTCAGCTCATGCTTTGAGTGAGGGCTCGTGCATGCATGCAGGCCCGTCTCACCCGTGGGTGTTGTGGGGGTTGCGACACCCACACTTTCACTGAAACGTGATTTCATCCCCCACACTTTTTACCAGAGTCATTGATGAAAACCTATTGGTCAAGTAAGATTTGTTAAGTGACAATTAAGCCAATCGTAGCTGTTCGGTTACAGTTGAAGCACGGTAAAGTTACGTGCATTTAGCAGGAATCCTCCTGTCACTCATCACTGAGTCAGAGCTCAGAGCTAACAAATGGATACATGCTACATGTAGCATCCTTCTGAAAGAGTCAGTCACCCAAACAGATGTTTTTAAGATAAATCCACCTCACAAAAAAATGTAAGTGTAACATTTTCTCCTCTTGGTTGTTATTTTAGCTGTATTTATTTACTCTCGTAACTTTACGATGTAGCGGAAGTCCCTTTTGCAGTTTTTCAAAATAAAAGCACATTATATTTAAAGACCGGAAATAAAGAGACTGAGGCATAAGGCAATAAGAAAAGCAAAATAAAAGCATAACAAAGAGCAGTTTTGAATCTTGTTTTTAGAGCTAACTGGGTTACTCACAATGGATGTTCATAAAGTTAGTGTATATTTATAATCTTCTGTAACTTTGTCTTGTTGTATGATGTGTCGGCTAACATTAGTTATTGGACATTAATTGAAGCAGAATGTGTTGATTTGCTAGAGGGTGGTAATATGCTAGCATCACAACACCCACACTTTAAAAATCGCTGCTCCACCCCTGCATGCATGGGGTAGAGAACGAGCAGGGAGACAGGGAGGCATGATTGGTTCATCAGATTGGGACCTCATGGCAGACATTGGTCGAAGTTTTTACATGCTTACAACTGCTACAGATGACGGATTAAAAAAAAAGTGTATCTGGAAAAAATTACCAACCCTGCCTTAAAGTTTGAGGTGATGAAGGGCAGAGCATGTTTATTGGACACTTAAGTATGGGTTAAAAGCTTTTTCGTTTGCCCCCAAATGATCCAAAAAAATAAAATCCTGTAAGTTCAACTTCAATAATTTTGCTCAAACAGGGGAAGGGGGGAGCAGTCATTAACCCCCTAAAAAAAGGGAACACTGTGGAAATTAAAATGATTTTCCAAACATAGTTTCTCGCCAATGAATTGTGAAAAAAAAAAAGGTTCAACTTCAAAGTGAAGTAATTTATTATCAGCTGACCTTTGCTGGTCGTAACCGGACTCCTTCCTGCGGCAGTGCAGAGTCACCACCCGATGGCCTTCACTCCTCACGTCCTGACTAACAATCCACTGAGTGGGGTTGCTGGGACGGGCCCCGAGAAAGGTCACTCCTTCTTTCAACTTGACTCTGTGGAGAAAAGAAAAGTCATGTTTGTAAATGAACGTTAAGGCTGAAGGATTCAAAGAAGATCCTCATTTCAGTGTGACATTGGATGCGTCCAGCTGATCCATGCAGAGCAGCTGCCACCACACAGACAATGATTTTTTTCTTTTCTATTTTTTTTTTCCTGTGTGTAATTTTGTCAAGCAGTACATTATCCAGATGGTGCACTGCACTGTCTTGTCTTCAAAAGATGTCGCAGCTGTTTTCTTTGTTTTGATCACATTGGTTTTGTTCCCCAAGAGGACAATTGACTGCTTTAAATACGTGTGCTGTTTTTGTATTCCACAGGCCAATCAAATAATCAAAACTGAGTGAACACCTGCACATTTAACATGCAGTTTCTATATCATTGTCCATCTTATCTTTTTTTTTTTACTCAAAATATCAAGAAACAGCTCACTCTCTCTCTGATATTTGGTTCTTTAATCATGGTCAATATTCTGATAAAATGAGGCTACTCTAAAAGTGGGTTGTTACTATCCCATTGTGCCACTCTTTTTCTTCTTCCTCGGTAATAGATTCATTTAATATCTGCCTGAAAATGACATTATGAAAAGGTTTCTCTGACTACAGATAAATGACAGCGTCAATGTCCTTGGCTCAGTGGACTACAAAGGAGGGAAAATATCAATATAAAGAAAACTGGAAATGAAAATGTCTTGTACCAATGACATATACAGTAAGTGATCTGTAGGGAACGTGCTGACATAAAATAGATGTACATTCATGTTCCACAACATAATGAGAACATGTGTGATTTGGTTCGAAGGTGACAGTTTAGTCCAAAGATTGAAGAGAGGACTAAATTATAAAAGAAGGCCGAATCACTTTCCCCATCCAATCCATACCAAGCTGGCAGATGAGACCAAAGATAGGACTGTGCTTTCATCTCAAATTTGTCGCTGCACTTAAACATGCACTATGCGATTGCTTGTCTGTATGCCAATGAATATATCTGCCCTCCCCTGTCAAGCCTCGTTCTGTGATGTGAAGTCTTATCATGTTGTGAAGGAGGTTATATGCCAAGAGAAAATGTGTAATATGACAGATGGATTGCTTCCCCTCTCGATAGGAATGAAGATAAAAACGTCACCTAAGGGTCACAAAGAATGTGTGTGTGTGTGTGTGTGTGTGTGTGTGTGTGTGCGCGTGTGTGTGTGTGTGTGTGTGTGTACTTCACATGAGTATGTACGTGTGTGGTGATATGTTTGTGTTGCAGTCTTTCATGATGATTTGATGTCTTTTCGCCAGCTGCTAACCCCCTCTGTTGTGCATGCATGCAGGTAGACAGACATTTTTAGACTTTGTCAAAGCATCACATGTTTAGGAGAACGCAGAGATCAGACTACACAATATGCTGTGCCTCTTGAGATGGGATTTGTGTCAGTCTAGTAAATAAAGCCATAAATTCTTGTCATAACTTCACTGAGAGACATGACTTCCTTGTTGACCACTGAGCAGCCACTGCTTACTTTTTTTTTTTTTTAAACTCAGGTTAACTGTGAGGCTACTATTCTAGCCCAAAACAACAGCAGGTTAGCAGGTTTATTAATTAAATCAAATCTTTTTTGTGACCATTTGTGACGTTCCCACTGGGAATTTTGTGACATCTTTTTGCTGCCCCGGCTGAGCTGCACAGCTTGCATCCACAAGGGTCAATTTGTTTTAGTCCAGTAATGATTCAAAATTGTGTGTTAATATTTGCTTTTTCATATACTTGTTTTGGATCATCTACTTCTTACTGGTGGCGGCTGTGATGACTGATTCTGGAGGACTAACAATAATCATTTCAGGAGAAAGAGAAAGCGGTCCTGTTAAATTAACTTCCATCTGATTACTTTGTGTAAACAAAAACGATGAAGAAAGAAGAATGAGAGGTTTAAAAAACGAAAAGCCTTTTTTCCTTGCTTTACTCTGTGAACCTGCTCATCCTGAAGGGGGTTCCTTATAACAACTTGCTCACTAAACATCATAAAAATAAACATTAAAGAGCTTTAAACAAAGAAAAAAACCTTTAAAAGCTTTTTGAAAGATTATGCCAGTTCACTCTGTCAACAGTAGCCTTCTATCTAAAGTAAGCTTTAGGGCTAAAATGTTTACTGTTTCTTCAAAACAACGTTAGCAGCGCCTCCTGTCTCTCACTGGTTCCTATTGTAGTAACACTCTAAGAATACTTGCATTATTTCCAAGATAAATCCAAAATATCAAAACAATCTAAATAACTAGGATGGCCCTAATTATATTACAGGCCGGAAGGCAGTTACATATTGGATCTGTAAAACTACTTCAGACAATGTGAGTGAAACATCAAACTGACAAAGGACACCGACCAAATTCTGTTAGAATTACCCAAAAGTCACTTTTGCCCTCAAGACTATATTTAATGGCACCCCCGAAGATAGGAAACTTAAACACAGATTTTGTAACAAAAAGCTGACGAACAAGCCAGTAGTTCACTCTAATGTTCAAATAAAACACTTCATTTTAGTGTGCTGCAAAGCTATGAACACACACACAGTCAGTGCATCACAAATTAAAAGCTTTAAGTGTCACTCAAAGGGTAGATTTCTCCACCACTGAGTGGAAGATCCACTGTTAAGGCCAGAGTGAAAGGAAGTGCTGAGGAGGAACTTACTGGCTGTGAGCACAAGACTGTAACACAAAGAGCTCATGCACCGTTCTCCTGGGGTTCCAGAGAGGTCTTGTATCTGGTTTTCTTATGCTTCGCCGCTCAGGATGTCTTTCATTGGTTTCCAGTGAGGCTTCAGAGTGTTTTAAACACAGCCGAGTCTCAGAGGGGAACCAGTCATTACTCCACAGACCATATCCAGGACCACAGAGCAGGTGCTGCCGTATGCTTGAAGTGTCTTTTATTGACTTAATGGTCTAATCTGCCTTGTAACCAGCAAGTGTAACAGTCTGCTGCAGGTTAAAAGCATTCACCTTCTACCAGGGATGGTTATTATTCATGCTGTAATGAAAGCCCTCGAATGTATGCCTTCAGATAGAACAGCAATGCTCATACAGGTACTTATCTAAAGTCCTGCATACCAGCTTGCAGTTATAGAACAATAAGTCTCTGGAAGGCCAAATGTATGCACATAATAGTAACCTGAGAACGTCGCTCTCAGACACAGCAAATGGCTTTTCAACCTAAGTCTGGTTTTCTTTTAGTCTTCTGCCTGTTAAAAAAACGTTTTTTTTCCAGTTTCCTGTAACTTTTCTGGATGATGCCAATCGTGCGCTCAAGATGAATCAATGCAGGGTCTCTGTAAATAAATCAAAGACCATGGTCAAGATCTGCTGTTGTCTTGAGAAAACATTTGTGGCATACATATAGAGATGTATTGATTTAATGTTGATTGTTAGTTGATATAATATTTTAGCCCATTCCCAAGGTATCAAAAACTGTCATACTGTCTTCCAATGTCATGACCCCAGGCATCCCAAAGACATGAGGAAGGCTTCCCCTTCGGCATCTTGAGGGACATAGCAGGCTTTCAAATAAAATGAATGTGAGTTTTTTGTTCCCCTATTTTTTGTTCCCCTATTTTTTATCTTAACCACGTTTTGGACCAGAAGACAACAAACATATGTGCCTCTATATGACAAAACAAACTAAGCTGGCATCATTTAGCATGTTAGCGTTCCAAAAATGTGTACAATTGAGGCTCATGGGAATATTACTAGTGAACCAGGTATCTTCTGATGAACAAAATTATTTTCTGGAACACCAGTTATCCTGGGGGAAATGAAAATCTGTATCAAAATTGATATCAGTCCTTTGAGTAATTGTTGAAGTATTTCCCTGGATAAGTGAAAACCTTGTCTTTCCAGTCGTGCTACAGATGAAGTTATTGTACCTAAATTAAATTAAACAAGCTTTCAAACAAAATGACTCTGAACCTTGAACCAGACTACAAGCCTAGCCGATAAAAAATGAGTCTTAAACAATACAGAAGGAGTGATTTGTCTTTCAGATAGCAGTATCTTTAAAACATATTTTTTGTAATATTTTTTCTCTTGTGTACACATGTAATACACCTTAACTGTTTCACTTTGTTTGTGTGGTGAAGTCAAGGGCATTAGCTGGGAGCTACATGGAGACTCAATGTTCTGAATACCAAGTGCTTCACAACCAGAGGGGAAGTAAAGACAAAACAGCCCACAGGGAACGCGGGGACACAGTTTAAAAGGCAAGTGAGTTTAGCTGACAGTCTAAAGTTTCTCGAGACCCAACTCCTCAAAACTGTCAGCCATTACGGGAGAACCTGACGAGCCTCATCAGCACGACAGTGCGCCTGAGACAAACTCAGCCGAACAAAGAGAAACGGGTGCAGGTTGTCGAGGTAATCAGTGAGCACAGTGTTCCATTCTGGGTACTTATGCTATTTCATGTCATCATGACCACAGCTGTGATAAAAAGTGAAAAAAATCAAGCTGAACTACTGCAGTTCTATACGACCTTTCTCTTCTTGTAACTCTCTCTCTCTTCTGCTCCTCCTCCCTGGTTGTATGCTCAGACTCCTCAGGGGCCCTCTTAATAAATAGTGATGAGATAAGGAGGAGCTGCTTCTCAGCGGGGCAGTGAAAGGAATAAACATTTCCATGGGAAATCCAATAAGGTCGAGGCTGGCCTATAATGGGAGTCCCCAGCCAGTGGTCTGTGTCCTGCGGCCCACGCTGCACTGCAGTTACCTCGATGGCCTTCTTCCATCTGCTGCTCCTGCCTCACGTGCGGCGCAGTTTGGTGATCTGCTCTGACCATTTCTCTCCTCTGAGGCCCTTATGCTTCCACAATCAGCGGCTCCCTTAGGAGGACTTCCCTGTTTTATTGTGCCATCCTGCCTTCATAAACAGTGAGCAGGGAATGAAGCAGCTCAGTGGGAAATGGCGAAAAACGGAGAAGCTGCAGTGTGTGGGAATGGTAGAAAGACAGCGGGAGAACAGTACTTTGTTATGGT